AGGAATCAAGGGTCTTACCAGGGCTCGGGGCTCTAGCAACTGAGTGAACGGCGATCCTGTGAACTTGGGTGGGCAGTCAGCAGGAAGGCTGGGTGGAAGGAGGGAAGGGAGATCGAGCTCCTGCCCTCAAACACGCCACCAATACTTTGAAAGAAACATGGGGACTTAAATGACATTAAGTTGGTGACAATTCCATCTCAGTATTTACGGTTGAGAGAAGGATGGAAAGCACGACCAACCTCAAAGGAGAGGGAGATGCAGACCTCTGGAGCAGGACCAGGTAGCCGGAGTGGGACACACAGGTTCCTCCCCACCCACTGTGCCTGACCAAGCTACCCTCACTGAAGGGACACTGGGCTCTGCAATCTCCCCAAACAAGTCTCCCTTGTGGGTGTTTTGTTGTTATTTGCAATTCAAATGCACAAGATCACCTGTCAAATATATCAAGGACAGAACAAAATATTCTGAAAATTTCTACAAGTTTGATCTAGACATATTGTTAAGGGTAAAAGTCTACTTCACAGCTTTGATTTTCTTCAAAAAACAAAGCAGAGAATAGGCACACATTGTTAAATGATGTTAAATGAATGAACAAATGGGAGAGAAATGAAGGTGTATTTAATTTGGAATAGTCTTATTTTAATAATGTAAAAATATTTGAGCTGCCTTCATAATTGCTTATTCTTTCCTTTATTTTTACTACTGGTCACATATTCAAGTCCAGGCTGGTCAAAGTTCAGTCAACTAACATATGCCCATAATATAACATCCCTGCCTTTCTATGTGATAAAGTGGGTATGCTCTCCCGGTGTATTTCTCTCAGAGGAAAGGATGAGAGGGACTCCATGGTCTCACCTTGTGTCCTGGGAGATGTAGCTGAAAGACAGTGGGGGATACATTTAGCCATGGATCTAAAGGTAACTTGTCTCCGTGATACTCATCCTGAAGCTCATACTGTAATACTGAGCCTTCCTGAAGCTTTTTGAAGACAACAGGCCAATGATTTTCTCCAGTTAGAAACTTTCTCTTTATTTAAACTAATGGCATCTAAAATCACCACAATTAAAGGTTCCCCCAAACTGTAAATGTGTTTAACCCAGAGAAGACAGACCCAGGGTGCTACATTTTGGGGGACATAGGACAGTAAGTCCTTGCCTTGTTCCTGAGAGTGACCTTGAGAGGCGGCAAAAGCCAGGAAGCTCAAGGCTGGTAGGGCAAGTGGGCGGTTGCCCAGCTTCTTACCCTACTGAACGCTGCCATGTTTCAGATGATCCTGTCTGTGTGCCTGAAAAGACAGGATCTAGAAAACTTAAAACAGGTGATTTTGGACTAAATCTCAGGGGAGATGCTGAATGCCTTATTAGAAGGTGACAGTAAAAAGATTGATTTCTTTCATTCTTTGTTCCTTGCTCTCCAAAAAAAAAAGAACAGTAACTTCTAAAACCTCAATGCTGAAACTTGAGGCATGGCCCTGTTGGTGATTTTATGTGCCAGAATGCAGATGCCGTGAGAGCCTAAAGGACATTAGGCATCAGAAAGGAGGGTACAACATAATAAAATAAAATTTAAAAAAAACAGAAAGGAGGGTACAGGTTTTGTGGCTCAGAATAAACTTCCAAATAAAGCAGGATCCAAATGTTGCATACCTGAATTTTTAACAGATGGTGGATGCTTATACTGAAATATTATTTTTATGCTTTGTATTTGATTTGTCAGACTATTTAAGCAGACCAAGTCATGACTAAAATTCCTATTTGAGTAAACATTTAGTTGCTCATAAATTTGGATTAATAATATATTAGAATACTATTTGCTTCCAAAAGAATAAAGCCTGAAATCACATTAAATAGCTAGAAAGAGCTAGTAGTACAGAAATATACAAGAAACAGCAGTTTGGTGAAATTACAAAGCATTTCATTGCACAGGTGACCTTTTCCTACACAACTTAATTTTCATAACGTCACTCATTTTTTTTTAAGATTTAAGATTAACTTTCACCCAGTTATGATTTGTAGATCTGCTTCTCAATTGCAATGAACAGATAAACAAGACCACAGATGTGTCAGTTGAAAGAGAACCTTTTTTGGCATTTGAGGAATTGGCTCCCTTACTGAGCTCTGTTCTCTGTACAATACAAGATTCTCTGTAACAATGCAAGATCTGGGCAGATCCTCCCACCCACTGACTTTCCCTGTGGGGGGGGGGCGGAAATCCAGGGATTTGTGATGCCCTTTAAAACAGCAAACTTGAGCCTCATTATCAAGTTGAGCAAGATTAGGAAAGACTCTTGAGTCTTCAGGGATTAGTTGCTAGTTTAAAACAATGCCGGATTTGAAAAGAAATTCTTGCAGGCACCAATGGATTAATCTTGCCATTTCTCCATTGAGATAAATGAAAGAAGAAACAATGCCAGCAAACACTATTCTTTCAAAGGATCCTCAAAAACCAAACATTCTACAGTGCAAATGTCAAGATTTATAAAAGGGAGGAAATATGTTGGGACCTTCCAAAACAAAATAAATTCTCCTACTTATTTTGGCCATGTGCTTCTATTCTTTTCAGACTCAAGCCAGATTGTTCACATGTAAGAAATATTTCCTTGTGGATTCATCTCAGAAGATTCACACACCAGCCTGCTCCTCCCGGGCCACCTGAAGGGCTGGAATGTACTAAGAGAATGGAAATTAAGATCTAAATGAGGCCAAAACAAATCTAAAGGGGAAGAAATTCAACCTCATAATAATGATATTTAGGATTTTTCAAAGCCCCCAAATAAATAATATTTAGAATGTCTATCATCTTATTGTTATTTTTAAATAATGCCATTAATAATATAAAGAGTACAGATATTTAAACAGGTTTCAAATGGAAGAGAAGTACCCTAAGTTTATCTTTGACAACTGTGTGAAATCCAAAAGGAAACATGATTTTAGAACTAATCCATTTGATGGTTCTGTGTTCTCTTCTTCACCAGATGTGTGACCTTAACATAACCTGAAATCCGCTAACTTCTATCAGTCAGTGTAGGCTTCCCTAGTCCTATGGCAAAAAAGCATCTGTCCTTAGTGACAGAAGTTCTTTTTATAAGAAGCCTTGCCATTCACTTATGTCTATCTGTGACAAAGAGCACAGAAGGAATTCTCTTACTGAGTGGGCTGGCTTCAAACTCACCACCCAACTTTACTTTCTATCATTCTAAGAGGACTCTGAATTTGAAACTGCTCTAGGACCTCTCCAGTTGGAGAAAAGAGAGGTGAGGAGAGCAAGTAGCATCTCATTAAGCACCCCATTGAGTAGGCGCTGCACTAGGTGTGTTTTATTTGACATTTCATTTAGTGCTTACAGCAAATCCATTACGTAGGATTATGACCATCCTCATTTTGCAGAAGAAAGAGAATAAACAAGTTTCTCAACATCACATAGCCACTGTTAGTAGCTTCGATGTCTGCCTTCAGAGTCTACTCCATTTACAATAAATATCCTTTATCTTCTATTTATAATATGAGGATAACTGAAAAATAATCTTGCCTTTATAAATAATAGTAATGAAAAATCCTAAGTCTGGAGGGTTCATGGGGTTACTTTCACCAAACTTGGACAATTTTGGCGATAATTATCAAAGCCAGATGATTTTCAAAATTATAACTATTATAAATTGAAGTTCAAATATAAAACTGAAAATTAAAATTTTAAGTTTTCCTTTAAAATTGGAAAGCCAACAAGAAGAAAAGGCATTCTCATAGTTTTACCCATTTTTAAGACACTGACAAGTGCTGCATAGTTTGTAGACTTAAATGCAAGATAGGGTTAGTTACTACCCTGCTATAATTGTTTTTTACACCAAGTACTTGTTAACATTTGCCTTAAAAATAGCAGAATATTGATATGCAATGTGATCGATGTGATTGTGTTTTTTACCCATAAATGATTTTCAGCAGTAGTATCATTTCTAGATTGTATAGATCTGTTGAATTATATCCTCACTTTATTGTTCTGTTTTTAATAACTATACAAGGTAATTTGCTGCTTATTTGTGAGGCACATAGGTCACTTGCCATAACTGAGACTTGTCTTCCTTGAGGCCTTTGTGATTACCATTCTCAAAGTAAGTGATTTCAATTAACTTCAGTTTTGCAGGTTAAAGTTCTTGCCAAAACTTCTGAATAAGAACATTTGGTCTGTGTCTTGGGTCAACTGTCCAGAGTAAGCCTTTTTCGTAATTTTCTCTTTGTAAATTTCATCTTTCAATTACCAAACCAGTTACTTTGTAAATCAATGTCACTGAAACTCATATAACAAAGTAGAGTCATTAGAATGGATCAGTGTTCAGAAACAGGTCCGGGGACAGGGATGAGCTGTCTAACTTGCTCTCATACACCGAATGAGATCTGACGTGCTCCCTGATCCTCCTGAAACTCTTTCTGCTAAAACACATAGCTAAAAATTAACATACATTTCCCTCATTATCGTTATCTTTTTCCAATTCTTACACTTTCCCAAAGGTATATATTTTTTCTCTGGAATGCTTTAAAATAACTTGATCAAAACATGCTAACACAAGTCCACTCTGAAGAGCAAGGTGCACGGACCAGAAAGCTTCCCTTCAGGGAGGAATTACTTTTTTTCTCCCCAAACTACCAGATGTTACTTCTTCTCTAAATATTTTGTAATAACTAAGGTATCTAGACAATGGGCCATAATATTATGAATCTAGAAGGTTAACCATCTGAGATAATATTAGATGAGAGTGAAAAGAACATTGGGTCAGGATGAATGCCTCACGAAGGGCAGCCTCATGTTCCTTGAACTGGCTCCTCATGGCCAAGATGTGGATGCGAATGCCTACCCATCAGAACTACACCAGGGGCTGTGCAACGTAACTGAAGCCAAGCACCCCAAAGCTTAAGTGCTTTGCACATTTCACTCTTACACAACTTATTAGAAGGTTCAAGGCCCTCAGAAATCAAAGAAGGAGGATAGATGCATGAAATCAGATTTACCAATTCTTCATTTTCAAACTCCGAGTTATACTGTGCTGCTTCTTCTGTCACTGGTTTCTGAACAATGTTTCTGCAGACGAGCCAGATGGTCAGACTAGCAATGAACATCCCGATATCAGGCACGAACACTCTGATCCCATTGCCAGCATCAGCTCCCTTTAAGCTATGGAGGAAAAAAAAAAAGGGAGGGGGAGGAAATTTAGTTGTTTTTCTATTTCTATGGTGACACTATGTCCAAGTATGTCTGTATCTCCTTAATGAATTTTAAAAAAGCAATACTCAGGGGGCGCCTGGGTGGCTCAGATGGTTGAGCGTCTGCCTTCGGCTCGGGTCATGATCCCGGGGTCCCGGGATCGAGCTCCGCATCGGGCTTCCTGCTCAGCGGGAAGCCTGCTTCTCCCTCTCCCACTCCCCCTGCTTGTGTCCCCTCTCTCTCTGTCTCTCTCTCTCTGTCAAATAAATAAATAAAATCTTAAAAAAAAAAAAAAAAAACTTAAAAAAAAAAAAAAAAAAAAAACAATACTCAGTTTCTGCTTACAAGGCCCAGGAAAGCTTTTCATCGACCTCAGAGTCTTATGTAATCTGCCAAGATTCAGGAAGGCACCAGGGTTTCACTGGAGTTTCAAAAATATTATAAAGACTCCTAAACCAAGTCTCACTTCTAAAACATGCTAATGAACTATATTGTTTTTAAATAAGCCACGTGCACAGTACAGACCCAGGTGTCAGCAATCTAGCTGAAGCAGTTAAAAAAACTATAGACACGTCTATGGTGAGTGCTGTGAATTGTGCAAGACTGTTGAATCACAGATCTGTACCTCTGAAGCAAATAATACAGTATATGTTTAAAAAAAAAAAAAGAAGAGGAGAGCAGGAGGGGAAGAATGAAGGGGGGGAAATCGGAGGGGGAGA